CACAAAACAAAATAATCATAGCCACAGCTGGACTGCATAACTTCATTCGCCTGTCTCAAATTCAAGACATTGATTTTGATGATGCTTTGCATACTACTGCAATCCCCCGAGAACATATTAATAACAATGGAGAAAGTGGAGAAAGTGCAGAAGAAGACTTTCTACATAATCAAGAGAGAACAACAGCAGGAACTCGTATGCAGATAATACGAGAGGGAATAAAACAACAAATATGGGATGCATTTCATTAATGAACTACTGGGTTCGGATATTCGGGTTCAGTTTTTTTTCTTTCAAAATGTAAGATGCTTTGAGAATACTAAGTACTTTTTAACCTTTTTAATATAGTATAAGTACTAGTATTTTACAATTTTTTGTGATTGGTCAATTATTATTACCATTTAAGTTTGAAAAAAAATAATTACTTTTTTAAAATTAATTACTTTTTCAACATTAATTACTTTTTAAAAAAAAATTGCAACTTCAGCAAATAATTCTCCTGTTACCATTTAAGTTTGATATTATTCAGCAAATTCTGCAAGAAATCAACAGTAATTCAGCAAATTCTGCAAATTCAGCAAAAATTCTGCGGTTACCATTTAAGTTTAATATTATTCAGCAAATTCTGCAAGAAATCAACAGTAATTCAGCAAATTCTGCAAATTCAGCAAAAATTCTGCGGTTACCATTTAAGTTTAATATTATTCAGCAAATTCTGCAAGAAATCTACAGTAATTCAGCAAAAATTCTGCGGTTACCATTTAGACCCTAAGTCTTAAAAAATCAAAAAATTCGTGTAAAAATTATTCAAACCGGTGTTCCATTTGAATCCCATTACAATTCAAAAACTAAGGAGATCTTTCATTTGACTTATATTATTTCGTTCGCTTGACTATTAATTATACGAAATAACAAAATAAGAAGGTCTTACAAAAAACCAAAAAGGTTGTGTAAAATTATTCATCATCAGAAAAAGAAGAATTGCGTCTGCCGGGAGTCGAACCCGGGTCTATTGCTTGGAAGGCAATTATCCTAACCGTTGGACTACAGACGCTTTCTTGATAAGGCACTCGAAATGTATCTATATAAGCGTTATATAATGAAAGTTGATGCAAACAGAATGTTGCCGAGCATTATCGGCGACGTTGACAACTTACGCTGAAAAGGACACCGGTTTGTATCCTTTACGTTCGTCCGTGTTTTTCTTCTTTGACCAGATTCTGAAGAAATAGTCTTTTTTTTTTTTTTTTGAAAAGAAAGAGAGTTCTGAGAAATAGTCTTTTTGTTTGTATATTTTCTGGAAAGTTTTAATATAAAACTATCTGAATCTGATGCCGTAAGAGCTTAGACTTCGTTTTAGACGAGAAAAAGTCGTCAATCGTCATTTTAGCTTCCGATTTCTCCGTCGATTTTCTCTCTGCACAGAATCCAATCGCCGGATTCTGATTCCTGCTCCATACTCTTTTGCAAAATCGTGTTTCAGGTAACTTTTATTTTTTTTTGATAAAGAATTTCAGGTAACTTTTATTCTTCGTTTCATTGATGAAATAAGTCGTTCCTTAACATTTGTTGTGATTTCGGTTGATTTTTTTATTAGGAAAGAGGCTTATAGTTGATGGTGGATTTTTCCGGCGAATTTGGGTGATGTGTTCAATATTCTAGGCGAGGAGATTTTTTTTTTGTTGTTGTATTTTTGATTTGTAGTTTAATGGTTGAGGAGGATTCTTGTTGTTTCAATGGTTTTGTGAAGATGAGGTTGTTAGAGATTGCTACTCATCTTATTCGTCTTCACTGGTTTGATTGATTATCATTAATTACGTCGAGAAAACTGAGAATTGGTGA